TATATATATATATATATATATATATATATATATATATATATATATATATATATATATATATATAGTACATATAGTATAATAAAAGAAGGGGAAGAGACAGGAGGAGAAAGGAATATATTCTATAATAAAGGAGAAATAAGACGGCGACAGAGAGGTATATAGCAGCAGTGGCAGCAGCAGTAGCAGTCGCAGCAGAAGCAGCACCAGCAAAAACATTACAACCAACATCAGCGCCACCACCAGCGTCGGCACCAACAGGGACAGCAGCATCAGCACCAGAAGCAACAGGAGCATAAGTCTGACGGTTAAGAACACGACGGTTGCCCTGCCAGCCCGAAATTCCGGTTAATATCGACCCGCCTGCCGCATCACTTAAACGGGGACAGATTAACTGCAACCCTCTTCTGATGCTGCTGGTGCTGATGATGATGATACGAATGCGTTGTAGGCTGCTGGCCCCATCAAGGCAATTCTAAGAGAGTCATGCTGTAAACGACGAGCAGCAGAAACTAAACACATAACGGAACAGCAGCAGTAGCAACGAGAGTGGCAGCAGCGGCAACAGTGCCAATCGCCGCCGAATCGGCGCAGCAATAGCAGTGGCAGCAACAGCAGCAGAAACAGTGGCGGCAGCAGCTACAGCAACAGCGGCAGCAGCAGTGGGAGCAACAGAAGCAACCGACCGGAGGGGGCACAACGGCAACAGAATAACGACAAACGCACAGACACACAAAAAGAAAGAGACAAACAAAGGGAAAGAGACAGACAATAAGAAGAAAGATACAAGCGAAGAATAGAAAGAAGAAACATGCTGACGCGGAACCGCTCGTCGTCTTCTTATTTCTTCCTTCACCTCCTTCGGTGCCTCCTACAAGCCCCATGCTAAACCCTAAATCTTAAGCGCAAGACCTACACGACTGTTACTAGTAGTGCTATCTTGGTTCCAGGGTTTAGGAATCGTTTGTGGCTCCCCGATGGCCGCTTCAAAGGTGGTTTGAGGTTTCCCAATGTTCTTGGTGGCCCCCCTCATCCTTTGGGGCCCCCTTTGGTGCCATTAACGGCCCTCTGTGCCCTTGGGGGCCCTGTTGTCGCTTGGGGCCTCCTATGGCATTCGGAATACCCCCGTGGCATCCTGGGCCCCCCTTTGGATGTGGCGGGCTCCTATATGCCCTTTGGAGCCCCTAAGGCGGCAGTGCGTTTTTGTGGGCCCCCCTGGCGATTGCACTATATACATCGGGGACTTCTTGTGTTGCCGACGAGGCCACACGGTCTGGACCTGATGCTGTTACATACAAAGGCCTCTCCATCTCCCCTAAGAAGCAGCTGCAGCAGCAGCAGCATTTGTAGCAGCAGCAGCATCAGCAGCAGGAGCGGGAAGGTGTGCGACCCCT